TACGTTTTACAGCAGTGATTGCCATTCAGTATTTGACTGATGACCATTTATTTTTCATTAAGAGTCATTCATTAGGGGTTTTTCACTTAATAGAGGAACGTTTTGAGTCAGCTCCATGTAGTTATTTTCCGTCCAGATAATTCTCTAATAATCGACACCCACTTTGTACACTAATGTTAGTGGGAAGCTACATTTTTGTAACTCTTATGAAATAGTGGACAAGGAGGAGCAGTAATGTCTCTCACAATGTTTTTCTCAGGCAAATCGATCAACACCAGTATAGGAAGTCACATTTAGAGAGAATGAAAAGGTTGCAAAAAAAACATGTCACAATGAAGCAGAAGGTAGAAACGCAGAAAACATACACCTGTTAAGCCCTGAGCCTGTTTTTCAGGTCTCAGGCTCGAAAATGACATTCCCAGAACAAATGACCATATCTTCCCTTCTAAAAGGGTTAAATTAATAAGATTTTTTCTCAAAGTAATGATAAACCTGTGAGTTGGATGTAGAAAAGTCAGAATCAATATAGATGTTTTTTATTTTAAAGAAAATTCAGATTGAACATAGTAAAAAACTGTAAATTATAGTGTCCGTCCAAAAATGATTTTTTACTTATAGTGAAAACTACCCTTGGATGATGGGTTAGTAGACTAAAAGCTTTAGGAATCCAAAGTACAGCATATAATAAGTACCCTGTATCAAGATTGATGCAAAACAAGGGCAATTTGACCTTTTTAGAGAGATTTAGTACAAAATAAACACTTCTGGGGTCATTTGGGTGGATTTTCCATATCTCTGGCCCCCCTTGGTCGATTTTGATGAATGAAATCTCTTTATAACCGCTAGAGCCAATGGAATCGAGGGAAAGTTCTACACACACCAACACGTTAACAAATAAGGAGTGAGAGTGACGCGTGGCCAAAACCGGAAGCTGCATACACTCTGTTGGCTACCATTAGCAGCTAACTTTTTTTCTCCAATTTTTACATAAAAATTGAATTATGGATTATAAATAATTTTTTCAAACCGACAGATACATTATTAACCTATGGATTAACCGATTCAGCCACGTTTTTTCTCGTTTTAATGCCATTGAACACGTCTTTTGATCAGATTGACAGCTACGGTGAGACGATCTCCCGTAAAAGCTCCGTAAAGGTACGTGTTGTGATGTCTGTGTTTGCTTCCCCTGTCGCGAGTTCGGATCGCTCAGTGATGATACTATACCTATATAATCTGTGGAGTCTCAGCTTTAATCGGATATATTGTATGTGCAGTTACGATAAGTAATAAGGGTATCTTTATCTTGAGTTCTGTGCTAAGTGCGTTAGCATTTTTTCGCTTAGTGCTAATTCAGAGGCTTGGTATCCTTGTGTTTTGTTTTGGTAAAAATGGTTCATATCGTCAGTTAGCTGAGATTCTTCCCGTTAATCTGGTGCTACACATTAATAGTTTCATAAATGTTAAGAAGCCCTGAGACACAGTCTCGAAAAAAAATCCGGGTCAAATTTGTAGACAAATTTGTAGTCAAATTTGTAGTGGACATTTCCTTTGAAGAAGTGCACAAGTCCTGTTGGGGAATGAAACTAGTTATTATTACATTTCAATGTTTTAGCCTAGTGCTTGAAGTACATGGCACCAGCATCTGTACAAATATTTCTGAATGCAGCATATCAGCCTGTGGTTTCCACAAATAAAGTTATGTACACTGAAAACACTGAAACGTTGACTTTAATTAAATGTAATATATCAAAGAAAATCACATAACTGTATTAGGTTAGTTAAAAGCAATAATATAAGTTGAACCTTTAAACTTAATATTATTGCTTTCATCTAATCTAATACAGTTATGTGAAATATTTTCATATAATAATAACACACGCTCACACACCAATTGTTTTTTAAGAAATGTGGACAGGAGGAACTTAGTCTCCTCTGAATCAGAGAAAATTATTCATGCCTGTTTCCTTCAGATTTAGAGTTTGGTCTGCAGTCACACTGTTAACTTCAATAAAATAAGAGAAATCACACATCCTAAGAATAAGCATATTTATGTTGGTTTGCAGAATTAATTCTAAGATTTGATCCACTACTTTCAATATATCTTCTTTTTCTGCAAACAGAGGTGCCTATCAGTCCCATTCCTTGCAAAAAATCTTGCTCACTTTATTGACTCGATACTTTTTGTGACACAAAATCATGTATCACATGTCGAAAACTCCCCAATGTTGTCCATGTTAAATTGGAAACAGATTGAATAAGAAGGTGTTGTAACTACCCTCTAAGAAGACAGCTGCATCTATGGGAGTTGGAATCCCCGGCCAATGGTGCTCTATAAATGTCGGTAATCCCTCCATCGTCTTCTGCTGCTCATTGTACCTATATAAAGTTCACAAAGATGACGTTGTACAGCATTGTCTCCACATTTTAGTGCTAGCAGGTTACAATGTTGCAGAGTAAACCACAGTGCCTCCTGTGTCTGACATGAGCAAACTTACCATGACTAATTAGCTTAAAACCCAAGTAAGAAATAGCAAAGCAATTGACGGAAAGCCATTTGTAAGCTTGTATCACCAAGATCTTTTTGGCATCAAAAATGTTGATAAGTACAGTATGATCAAAGCAATGACTACAGTCAAAAGCCAGCATCAAAATTATTTCTAAATTTGGGAGCAGATAATTCGGTGACATCTGTTTTACTGCATACGAAAGTTAGTCATATATGCAACATGATATTTTTTATTAGGATCAGAAAATAAATGTGGGATTATGATTATGGTAAATGAACCATTAGGGTAGGGTAGGTAAGTTTGAGAAACCGGCTCGAGATCGCTAGAATTTGAAAATACACAACCGGAGAAAATCTGCCACTTCCTTATAGAGCCCCTCCTCCAACACACACGAACGCGCACATGACCAATGAGGGCACGAGATAAGTTTGTGCACAGATGGAAGGCTGACAGGCAGGTAGGCCATCCAGTTATTTTAGCCGGGCCGGCTAAAATGATTGGTCGTGCTTTTTACAGTACTACGGCTTCCACAGATGACATTTTCCACATTTTTATGGATTTTTTGTCAAAGCACTTAAGATATTCATTGCTATCGGGATGTTAAGAGCATTCCATGGAATATAACACAAAGTGTATCTCGAGCCGGTTTCTCAAACGTACCTACCCTACCTTTAAGCACATTACATTTATTTGGTCATGGACCTTGTGATTTTTTTCAAAAGCAATTTCTGGTTGCAAAATTGTACTTGATATTTACTGAAAACAGATTTCAGTCTGATCAAAGTCACCAATAACTTAAAATCTCCTTCCACACAGACTGCGAATCTGCTTTTTTTCAATGTTATCACACATCATTTTTAACCTGTCGGGTGTGCGTGGTGATGAAAAGCTGGTTCGAGGGGCCCCCAGTGAATGTTTGCCTAGGGCCCCCACAGACTCTAGAATCACCACTGTTTGCGCTATAACATTTATGTGTTGACTTAAATCAACACCGTTACACTGTAATACACCAACAAGCTAGTCAATTTAGTCTATCAGTCAGATCCCAAAGAGTCTATGACTTTAAGTGAACTCTAAACAGTATTTTTTGATAAGTAAGCTAGCTAGCGATTTCTCTACGTTAGCATCAAGCGTCTTCAAATAACATTATTCAACTCAAACCACCATATCACAATCTTTTTTACACGTTGGTGTTTGTTGTACCTCTTAGCAAAATATGACAGCTATATGAGCTTGGAAAATATTGATATGGAGAATTGAATTTAATAAATGTACTGTTTATTAGACCAATGATGAGATACGATGATCTTGCTAGCACGCCATGCAGTCCCTCTCTCCCTGCAACTGAGACTGCTCAGCTGTGAGGAGAATGGGGGGTGCTTCGGAGATAGACCAGTGCCTGTATCAACTCAAATTCAGCCAGTGCAAACCCCAGTGGGAGCGCTGGGTCTAACTTGTGTAACGACAGCAACAGTTAGTGTGCTGATCGGGCCAGAGTCAGGCCAGACCAAGATCAGACCTCCTACGCTGGGTCTGTTACTGACTTAACTATTAATACAAGTAAAAAGTTATATGCAAGAATACTAATTCAGAATGATGTACTGCATCATCTGCAAATAATCAATTTCAAGAAAGAATTAAAGAATAATCAAATATTTCATATAGCAAAACCTTGACAGAAGCCAGTTAAAGCTGCCCCATCAAGATGTCATTCTTCCCGAGTGGCTGTTGTGAGCTCAATCGCAAGAAGTGTATATGCAAGCTTTCATATGAAATCTGTCTTATGTAATAAATTGCATATGATAACGTGATGTAACCATTATGCAATGACGCTATAATGCTAGTGTCTGATGTATTTATGAGTTTATAAGTCACTTTTAGACTGTGAAAAAACTGCTCAGCTATGCATAAAAAAAGGAAACAATACAGTCAGAATATGACAGCAGAGAAAATCTAAGACTGTGAGAAGTTGGTTGTGAAATGAAGCGTTGACACTAACCATTATTTCAAGATTTACTGTTATTGAAGACATTTCTAAAGACTGATGATGAAACATAACATTTCTCAGGCAAATCGATCAACACCAGTATAGGAAGTCACATTTAGAGAGAATGAAAAGGTTGCAAAAAAAACATGTCACAATGAAGCAGAAGGTAGAAACGCAGAAAACATTTAATGATTTGTGGTGTATCTTTAAAATAAATGTATCATCCATCACATATGGAGTATAACATAAAAACAAAGGCATCCAGTTGCAGCAATACAATAATAATATCAACAATAAAATGAAACACAACACAAGAAAAGTATACTTTGATACAAATTACATTATTACTAACCCGTGTAACACGATGAGGTACTGTAATACTTCTAACCACTTCCTTGAATCATCCATCACTTCCCTATTTGGTATTAGGTACATTGTGGTTATTGCTGATTATAAATGTTTTGTAACACTGGTGTTTTCACACACAGCAAATACAAATTCAATCATCTCCTCTTTTTCAGTATTTCATTGTCGTCATTGTTCTTGCAGTCCAGCATGTCCTTGGCAGGGCTGGTGGTCACATATTTGGAGTTAGGGTCAAATTTGTAGTGGACGTTTCCTTTGAAGAAGTGCACATGTCCTGTTGGGGAATGAAACTAGTTATTGTTACATGTCAATTTTTTTGCCTATAGTGCTTGAAGTACATGGCACCAGCATCTGTACAAATATTTCTGAATGCAGCATATCAGCCTGTGGTTTCCACAAATAAAGTTATGTACACTGAAAACACTGAAACGTTGACTTTAATTAAATGTAATATATAAAAAAAATCACATAACTGTATTAGGTTAGTTAAAAGCAATAATATAAGTTGAACCTTTAAACTTAATATTATTGCTTTCATCTAATCTAATACAGTTATGTGAAATATTTTCATATAATAATAACACACACTCACACACCAATTGTTTTTTAAGAAATGTGGACAGGAGGAACTTAGTCTCCTCTGAATCAGAGAAAATTATTCATGCCTGTTTCCTTCAGATTTAGAGTTTGGTCTGCAGTCACACTGTTAACTTCAACAAAATAAGAGAAATCACACATCCTAAGAATAAGCATATTTATGTTGGTTTGCAGAATTAATTCTAAGATTTGATCCACTACTTTCAATATATCTTCTTTTTCTGCAAACAGAGGTGCCTATCAGTCCCATTCCTTGCAAAAAATCTTGCTCACTTTATTGACTCGATACTTTTTGTGACACAAAATCATGTATCACATGTCGAAAACTCCCCAATGTTGTCCATGTTAAATTGGAAACAGATTGAATAAGAAGGTGTTGTAACTACCCTCTAAGAAGACAGCTGCATCTATGGGAGTTGGAATCCCCGGCCACTGGTGCTCTATAAGTGTCGGTAATCCCTCCATCGTCTTCTGCTGCTCATTGTACCTATATATAAAGTTCACAAAGATGACGTTGTACAGCATTGTCTCCACATTTTAGTGCTAGCAGGTTACAATGTTGAATTGTGAACTGGATTTTATGTTTCTGACGGAGACCTGGGTCCACGCTGGCGAGTATACACCGTTCTCTGAACTTCTTCCTCCTGACTGTACATTCTTCAGCTCCCCCCGTACCACCGGCCATGGTGGGGGCATAGCATCAGTGTTTAGAGCTAGCCTCCAATGCCGATTGCTTCACCCTGTAACTATGCTAGCTTTGAGTTGCAGCTTTTTGAACTGAACCCGGCTTCGCCGATACTCTGCGCAGTCGTGTATCGTCCGCCAAAGTGCAATAAGGATTTCATAAATTACATTTCTGACTTTCTGTCCGGGATCATGGTGAAATATGATCGTGTTTTGATCTCCGGAGACTTCAATGTCCATGTGTGTTGCGAGTCCAAACCTCTGGTTAGGGACTTTTTAAATCTCCTTGATTCTTTTGGTCTCGTTCAGTCCGTGGCTGGCCCAACACACGAAAAAGGACACACTTTGGACTTAGTATTATCGTTTGGACTGTCTGTATCTGTGGATGAAATATGTGCAGCAACGCGTATCTCAGACCATTTACCGGTTCTGTTTACAACCTACATCCCTTCTGCAGGAGTCGAATCACGTGCCCCTGCGCGTCGTCTGCGTTCGATTAACCCCTTGACTGCCTCACAGTTTTCTGATGTTTTTAATGCTTCTCCGATCTGTAAATTAGATGTGAACTGTGCTTTTAATGCTGATGAGCTTATCTCCATGTTTGACTCGACATGTACCCTAATACTGGATTCTGTTGCTCCTTTTACGCTTAGACGCACCAAAGTTCTCTCAGAGCCGTGGCTCAATGACTGTACTCGTGCTCTCAGACGCGCTTGCAGGCGTGCAGAGAGAAAATGGAAAAAGGATAAACTCCATGTCTCCCTAGAAATCCTTCGTGCTTGCCTTTCTGACTACCAGACGGCAGTCAAAGCAGCCAAAACAGAGCACATTTCTCTGTTCATCTCCAAAAACAGCCATAAACCTCAGGTTCTTTTTAATGTCCTCAACTCGATCATTCTATCCCTGTGATGTTTCTTCTATTGTCCCATCGACTACTCTCTGTGATAAGTTTCTTACATTTTTTATTGAAAAAGTATCTGCTCTTAGGCTAGCCCACACTAGTGCTACCCCAGATCCTGCTCCTTTTCTGTGCCCTGCTGTCCTCGACCACTTTGAGCCTGTATCCCTCTCTTCTCTCTCGGATGTAGTCAAGCACCTGCGGCCGACAAACTGCACCTCAGACAGCATTCCCTCTCGCCTTCTCAGAGATGTTTTAGAATCAGTTGGTGCAAGTATTTTATTACTTATAAACACCTCTCTTAGCTCAGGATGTGTCCCAGCTGCCTTCAAACATGCCGTGGTTAAGCCACTACTTAAAAAGAAAAATATCGACCCCTCCATTCTCGCAAATTTTAGGCCCATCTCCCAGCTACCTTTTTTATCAAAAGCCCTGGAGCGAGTAGTCTACGCCCAGCTGCAGTCTTTTTTAACCATGCATGGAATCCATGAAAAGTTTCAGTCTGGCTTCAAACCCATGCACAGCACTGAAACAGCCCTTTTAAGAGTTTTTAATGATCTGCTCCTAGCCGCCGACTCAGGTAGCCCAGCTGTCTTGGTGCTGTTAGACCTGACAGCTGCCTTTGACACTGTGGACCATAGCATCCTGCTGTCACGGCTTGAACAGTCCGCTGGCATCACAGGCTCTGCCCTTGCATGGTTCAGGTCCTACCTGACAGACCGTAGCTTCTCAGTGCAGCTAGGTGCCTTCTCCTCTGCCAAAGCCCCTCTTACCTGTGGGGTTCCCCAAGGCTCGATTCTGGGCCCCATCCTTTTTCTACTGTACATACTGCCCCTAGGTTCAATTCTAACTAAACACAATATTCCCTTCCACTGCTACGCCGACGATGTACAGATATATCTGCCTCTCAAAGCAAATGTCAAACACTCACTACAGCAGTTGATGGACTGCTTAACAGAGATAAAATCCTGGCTGAGCAAAAACTTTCTCAACCTCAACGAGAGCAAGACCGAGGTCATCTTTTTTGGACCCCAACCTCCAGCCTCTCCGGTTGATATTCTGGGCTCTCTCAATAAAAACATCCTCCCCGCTGTCATGAACCTTGGAGTGACCTTCACTAGCACTTTTAAATTCGACAAGCAGGTCAGCACCGTATTCAAATCCTGCTTTTTTTAAATAAGACTATTGGCCATAACCAAGTCGTATTGATCTTTTAATGACTTAGAAAGGGTTATTAACGCCTTTGTTACCTCAAGACTGGACTATTGCAACGCTCTGTATGTGGGTATGGACCAGGCCTCAATTAAACGCCTGCAGCTAGTCCAAAACGCAGCTGCACATTTGCTGACTAGCCACAAAAAGCGTGACCACATCACCCCTATTCTGGCCTCACTAAACTGGCTTCCAGTTCGGTTCAGAATTGATTTTAAAATCCTTTTATTTGTTTTTAAAGCACTAAATGGGCTGGCTCCGGCCTATATAGCTGAACTGTTCCAGCGCTACACCCCAGCCAGAGCTTTAAGGTCTGCTGACCAGCTGCTGCTGGTAGTGCCCAAGACCAGGCTTAAAACCCGAGGTCACCGAGCCTTCGCAGCAGCTGGCCCCAGGCTCTGGAACACTCTGCCCCTCCATGTGAGGTCGGCCCAGACCCTAGGGGTTTTTAAATCTACACTAAAAACACACTTCTTCTCTCTGGCCTTCTAGTTAGCGCGACTCCTGACTTTTCCCTGTGTTTTAAAAAATATATATATCTGTTGTAATTTATTGTCTTTTATTGTGATTGTAGTAATGTGTTTTTATTACATGTACAGCACTTTGGCTCGACCAAAAATCGCTTTTAAATGTGCTTTATAAATAAAACTTGATTTGATTTGATTGAATGTTGCAGAGTAAACCACAGTGCCTCCTGTGTCTGACATGAGCAAACTTACCATGACTAATTAGCTTAAAACCCAAGTAAATAAATGTGGGATTATGATTATGGTAAATGAACCATTAAGCACATTACATTTATTTGGTCATGGACCTTGTGATTTTTTTCAAAAGCAATTTCTGGTTGCAAAATTGTACTTGATATTTACTGAAAACAGATTTCAGTCTGATCAAAGTCACCAATAACTTAAAAGCTCCTTCCACACAGACTGCGAATCTGCTTTTCTTCAATATTATCACACATCATTTTTAACCAAATTACTGATAACCCTGCACCATTCAAAAATGATTTACACAAGTGTATACACAGTAATTATAGTTGCGAAACTGTAGTTATAGTTATAGTTGGGAAACTGTGGGATATTTAATACCTCCAACACTCATGGCCAGTGAAGAATATAGTGTAGCTGCCTAGTCGGAAGTGAAGAGCGGCATCTACAGATTTGATTCTGGAGGGGAAGCCCAAGTCTGAGATGTTTCTTGGGAATCCCTCCTCAAGTTTTAGTTGCCTCATTACCCAGTATTGATGACCTGAAACAAAAAACTGATGTTTCACATTGAAAGATACAGTATATTTATATCCACTACACATTGATATACATGTTTTTTTGATTAAAAAAGTCAATCAAAGTGCCCAGGAAACTTTATTTAACCTTTGAAAAACACATTAACACTCCTCTCCATGTTCTCATAGACAGCATCCAAGTAGTTGGGTACACTGTCTGACCAAAGACTGCCAATCAGGGTGATTCTTGTGTCATCAAACTGAGGATGTCTGCGCCACATAAATCTGAAAATACAAGGTACCAGGTAAAAAACAGGTCCCTCTGTCACCCTTTATGTTTATGATGTCAACATACTTTGACAGGGACCTTTACATACCTATCTTTGAAAAATATGACCTCCTGTTGTAACTCTGTAACAGCGTCAAAGGACAGATGTGGATCACATTTGTCAGGTGTTCTTGGAGGCGGTCTTTTTGAGAACAGTGAAGCAAATTTTGGACTGATACCTGTTGGAAACAGAAATAAACAGTTTAGGTACATTCTTATCCTTACAAATAAGACCCTGGTCTTAAAAATGTATCCAGCTTTTTTTTCCTATTTAATAAAATGTTCTTGGTGTAACTATCAGAAAATTATTGTTATAAACATAAGTTAGGTAAAGTTAGTAATCACTCTTGGCTAGTTGAAAGCAATCTTTAGATATACACTTTTGCTTTGCGCTCAGGGGCGCACCTTGCGAACAGGCAAGGCAGGCAACTGCTTGGGGCCCCGGACCAGAAGGGGGCCCCCAAAGAAGGTAGATTAAGAAGGTCCACAGCAACGACAACATGAAACGCCCTTTAATTTACTGCAACGACATGTCGGGTAACCCCCTCAAGGGGTCCGCATGCATAGCGCGCCGTCAAAAGCTCATCATTTCACTTGTGCTGCTCCGCTCCGCTCCGGGGGGGGGGGGGGGGGCTGTCGGCTGTGCGTGGTGATGAAAAGCTGGTTCGAGGGGCCCCCAGTGAATGTTTGCCTAGGGCCCCCACAGACTCTAGAATCACCACTGTTTGCGCTATAACATTTATGTGTTGACTTAAATCAACACCGTTACACTGTAATACACCAACAAGCTAGTCAATTTAGTCTATCAGTCAGATCCCAAAGAGTCTATGACTTTAAGTGAACTCTAAACAGTATTTTTTGATAAGTAAGCTAGCTAGCGATTTGTCTACGTTAGCATCAAGCGTCTTCAAATAACATTATTCAACTCAAACAACCATATCACAATCTTTTTTACACGTTGGTGTTTGTTGTACCTCTTAGCAAAATATGACAGCTATATGAGCTTGGAAAATATTGATATGGAGAATTGAATTTAATAAATGTACTGTTTATTAGACCAATGATGAGATACGATGATCTTGCTAGCACGCCATGCAGTCCCTCTCTCCCTGCAACTGAGACTGCTCAGCTGTGAGGAGAATGGGGGGTGCTTCGGAGATAGACCAGTGCCTGTATCAACTCAAATTCAGCCAGTGCAAACCCCAGTGGGAGCGCTGGGTCTAACTTGTGTAACGACAGCAACAGTTAGTGTGCTGATCGGGCCAGAGTCAGGCCAGACCAAGATCAGACCTCCTACGCTGGGTCTGTCACTAACTTAACTATTAATACAAGTAAAAAGTTATATGCAAGAATACTAATTCAGAATGATGTACTGTATCATCTGCAAATAATCAATTTCAAGAAAGAATGAAAGAATAATCAAATATTTCATATAGCAAAACCTTGACAGAAGCCAGTTAAAGCTGCCCCATCAAGATGTCATTCTTCCCGAGTGGCTGTTGTGAGCTCAATCGCAAAAAGTGTATATGCAAGCTTTCATATGAAATCTGTCTTATGTAATAAATTGCATATGATAACGTGATGTAACCATTATGCAATGACGCTATAATGCTAGTGTCTGATGTATTTATGAGTTTATAAGTCACTTTTAGACTGTGAAAAAACTGCTCAGCTATGCATAAAAAAAGGAAACAATACAGTCAGAATATGACAGCAGAGAAAATCTAAGAATGTGAAATGAAGCGTTGACACTAACCATTATTTCAAGATTTACTGTTATTGAAGACATTTCTAAAGACTGATGATGAAACATAAAAAACAGGATGTTGTGGTTTTTAGCTTTCAACACCACTGTAAACTTTGGAAACAAAAACATTGAAATATTATCTGGAACAAAATACAGTTTGATTACATAAGACTCATCGTGTGTTTCTACTTCTTTGGTGCATGTTATTAAAGCACATGTTATAATTTCATATGCACACTCTATCTGATATATATTTACCCTTCTTTACAATTTGTCCGCAATAGAGAAGTACCAGCAATATTTAGGCCTCAAAGCAGTGAAATTAGGCTTTTTCTTTTTTACAATCCAGCTGAACTCACCATACAGGTGTTGGACATCTGTGACGTCGCGGAAGGAGAGCCGAATTTCATTATTGGGGGCAAAATTGTATGATGGGTACATGATCGCTCCGGGATCATCAGAGTGGGGCAGGCCAAGCGCATGGCCAAATTCATGGACTGCTACAGCAAAAAGGTTGAAACCTGGAGCAGGAACGTCACAACACAAAGGTCGTAAAGTTACACTTAATAGTTATATAAATGTCAGTGAGAGTAAAATGTCCAACCAGTCCTTAAGTCAACATAATGTATTTTGTGTGAGAGTTCCAACTCTGGTGCTGTACCCGTAGAATTTAGACTCCAGTCTTCCTCTGCATCAAAGTGTACGTCTCCACCAATACCAACCCCAGGCAGGAAGGCATGCGCCAGGATTCCTCCTGTGCCATCAAAAGGTGAGCCATCTTCATGATCTGCAACAAACAATGCAATGAACTGATACACTTGCTGATGCCATGTCTCTCTTTAAAACTAACCTCCATTGTGGAATGAGACGACGATATCAGCCTCTTTCCTGTTCCGCTTGCGAAATTTCATCGCTGCAGCGTTGGACCAGAGCTTCCACGCCGCCCTGAAGACTTTCTGAACCTTTGAGGTTGAGAAGGGAAGGTTGTAGCCAGCGATCCTGAGGAGAGAAGATATGATTTTACAACTACCTAATTTAATTATTCTTTACTAATCTGCATATTTAGTGCTATTTGTCTTTTTAATTTAGTTTCCATCTGTTACAGTGTTATTCTTTTGTCATGCATGGCTCCATGGATGGCAATGTCCATTTGTTGGTCAACCAGTCCCCACTCTGAAATATCTCAGCAATGCTTGGATGGATTGCTAGTTTTTGTCAGACTTCATGTTCTCCTGAGGATACATCCTACTGAATATGGTGGTTCTCCCTGCTTTTTCCTTTACCTCAGGTTTGTCAGGTTCACAATGGTTTTAAGTGAAATGCCGACAACTTGGATGGATTGCCATGCAACCAGAGGCCTGTACTACGAAGCCGGATTTTCGCTTAGCCGGCTGACTTCAGGGAAAATTCTGGCTTTCCGGTCCTACGACGCTGGTTCTCTTTTTAGCGGGCTAGATCTCCATGGTAACTTATGCTGAGCGGCTAACCTCCTCGGGAGGAGGTTAGGTTGCAGGCTAAGAGATCAACTCAGTGAAAGCACCGCCTGCTGACCAATCAGAGCTCCGTGTGCGGAGTTTAAAGCTATCAAGTCATATTACAGGATAGAGGAAATACAGAAAAACTGCCGTTGCAGGAAAGACGGCCGGCAAAAATCAACTGACTGTGTGAACGTGAAAATGAATAGAATATCCCCTCCCATCTTCAGAGCAATCTGACTATTATAACATTAGCGTTAAGAAAGCTTACTTAAATATCTGCCACGACATAAGTAACCGGATCAGAGTAACATTAAGTACAGTCCGCGGCACTGTGAGTGCAGACGTCGATGTGTCCCATTATCATTCATATCATATCACATCATAATGTATCATATATTTCCTTATTTGAGTCAGCTTCTTGAGCCGTATCTGGCCGTGCAACACTCACAGTGTCACATACTGTATGCAGAAGTATTATTTTAAGCAACACATTAAACACTCGAGTCAAATGTAATTAAAGTCAGATCGTGTCTTGGACGGGGCATATCATAAACCTGTTAATGTACGCATTCAAACACTTTTTCTTTTACCAGCTGTATTCACCTTGCAGGTGCAGCTATGTGGCTTTTATCCTGGATAAAGTGTTTAAGTCATGGATGTTTAAAGTTTAACTTCTTCATATTTGACTAATATTAAAGTTCACTTTTCATTCAGGAAGTATGACGCTGCGCTGTCAGTACGCTTGTCCATGTTTGTTATTGGTCGAATGCTCCAAATACCACCCCTTTCATGTGAACGCGCACCTAACTAGATAGGACACGGCTGGCTTGAGCGATCCACTTGATAACCAGCGTCGTAGTACAGCTTAGCGAGAGCGCGTATGTTTTGGATTGGGCCAACCGGCTAACTCAAACATATCCAGGTTAGGTTGAACCAGCTTCGTAGTACAGGCCTCCGGTGTACACATTTATCACCACCAAGTTGCCATCATATGGTCAACATTTGAATGCATCCAATACTTTTTTTTTTCATTGACCAAATACCTGCTAAAATATTGACACTTCTTCAGGCTTCAGCCGTAATTTGTGTTTAGTGGAAATGGTGAACATTGTTATTGTGTTCATGTGGCCATGCTTGCATTAGCATTTAGCTGAATGGTGTGCTTGAAAACCACTGTTATTTAGCCTGATGGTTGCTTGTCAGTAAAAATAACACCAGCTGCATTCTCTTACCTGTAGCTGAGGGTTCTCTTCTTCCAGCGAATTGTCTCCCCAAATCGCTCCACATCTGACAGACCGCAGCGTGGCCTCTTCATCACTGCCAGAGTCTCATTGGTCAGCTCTCCACTTGGCGGCAACCCAAAGAAGCGCTGCATCTTCTGTATCTTATCACAGAGTCCGGTCCTCCAGTCAGCATCTTCTCCTGTGTCTGTAGTCCTCTTCTGTCTCTCAGACTTGGGCTTGTA